TTGCGGGCCATAGTTTCGGGACGCCTGGTATAGAGGAATATTATCCAAGGTATATAATGCTTTTAAAAATCTGTTGCTAAATATGTTTTCAATAATGTTTTGTGTTTGCTTGCTATAATTAAATAAACATACTTTTCTCTTCTGGAGTTAGCTGACTGCAAAGAAAATGGAAGCTCCTGTTATTGGCTCAGTGATCAATATCTGGGTCACTTGGTCAAGAATTTAAGGTTGCAAAAGGTGATATGATGCCTCATTTGTCTTCGTTGGATGCAGATTCAAATAACTCATCTCCTGATCATAGTGGTGAGATTTGCTACAATTAGATTAGCAGCATTTTAAATTGTAGACTTACTGGAACAAATTCACTAATACCAAAAGAGGAGATGAATTAGTTGTAACACCTTGTGGTTGTGCTCCAAGCAGGAAAGACAGCTGCCGTCCCTTGATGCATTTTGGATTCAACGTGAAAAGCAACGGTTCAGTATTTCAGGGGAAAGCTCTGAGGGAGCTTTGTCTTGTCTCCTGGGCTATCTCCTGAGAGGCAGTATTGTCAGCCAGGAGTCAAATAAATCCAGGCCTGGAGATTTGGAGGAGAAGATGAGCTTTGCCTTTGCTCTCTTGGTATTCATCTGGGAACTCTCTGTGAAAATCCATCTCCCAAAGATGAATTATGAGTCCCTAAAACCTATCACTGAAAAAAATAAACAGTGCTCACGAAAATTAAATAGTGGCATTTCAGAAAATGACAAGAGGGCTCTATTATTATTGTTATTAAATCTGAGCATTTGGTATTTCAGTTTTCAGTGATGCTCTGTGCATTTGTAGACCAAGGAGTTGGAATATTACAAAGTACACTTTTTGTCTACTTTTTCCTATTCTAATGCCTTAAAATAATGGATTTGTTCTTTGTAATCCTCTCTTGCTTTTTTATATAAATAAAATAAAAAAGACATATAGTTGTGAGACTGTGAAGCCAAAAGACCATTGTTTTGGAGTTATTAGACATAATCAGCCATATCTCACCTAGAGGGTACTTTTAAGTGTGAATTAGTTCAGATTTGCAGAGTGCATGGAAAAAGAAGTGTGGTATATGGAGAAAATTTGAAGAAACATACACTTCATAAACACTTCAACCACATACCCCCAATATTTCTCCCCAACAACATAATGTTCATTTATCTATCATTTATTTGCATCTATGAGACATTATAAAATATTTCTTTTATTCTTTTAGAATCAATATTTTATCAAGTCTTTCTATTCTTAACAAATACAAATTGCATTTTGACCAGAACATTTCTACAGCTCAATCTCTTTAAAAATAGAAATAGTAAAAAAATTATATGGTCCTAATTTATCAAGAAGGAAATAAAAGTCATATGGCTTTCAGTCTATTTTCAAGTAATGTATAAAATATTGGAAATGGTTTGTGTTTTATACATGTTTGCTTTAGATTAAAATAAAATTTTCATAATGCTCTCTAAAATACAATCCAATTAAATTTCTAATGTCGTTGTTTTCACATTTCTAGATGAAACTTCTGAAATACTCACACTGTAGTAATAACCATAAAGCTACCTTGCTAAGGAAATACTACCCAACTTGGAAATAATAAGATCTTTAAAGTTATGTGAGAATGCGTAAGTCCAGAATCTTTAGTGGGTGATTATGCTGGTTGAGTTTGAATTTCCTCCCTTGTTGTGGAAGACAGCTTCATAGTGAAGATCATTCTGAATGGCACTCTGCTGGTGAGGGGATAGTATGAGGCAGACTTCAATCTAATTTGAGAAAGTAGAATCCAGAGGGTTTGAGAGATCTATTCAAAGTCATAGAGCTGATAGCTGAAGTCCCCAGATCTTCCTTTTAAATAACCTTTATTTCCTTGATGGAATCTTCATTCATAGGTAATTCTTAGCCTTCTGTTAAGGCTGAGGCCAATTTCTCAGCAACAGCCAAAACATTTTACTTAGACATAGCCCGTGTGTAGAAACTCATATTATATAAAACCAGAGACTATGCTAAGAACTTTTATACATATTATTTCTTTTCCTTTTCACAAGAACTCTGTAAGATGGATTCAATTAATACTCCCATTTTACAGGTAAGAAAGTGAAAAAAACACAGTGGTCAGGCAATGTGTTCAAGGTCACACATCTAAGAAAGTGGTGAAATGGAAACTCAAACTGCCTACCCAGGTTGAAAGCCCATGTGTTAAACAGCTTCACCACACGACCTCTCCACACAATCAGGAAAAAGCAAAACATGATGAAAGTCCACATTTATTGTTTAAAAATGCACATTTCTCTGTCTGATTTAAAGAAGATGGTTGCATCCAAACATTGGCAATACGAAGCATTTCTGAAATGTGAGTTTAAATATGGGTAACACAAATTCTAAGTACTTGGTACTCTAGTGTCTAGGGATAATGATGGTAGCTTTGTATAAATATGTACATTCTTTCTGCAAGTAAATATCCAACAATGTTTAAGACCCTTGTGAAATTATTTTTGCACAGGTATTAGCTACTGTTTGTAACATACTATTAGGAAATTGTTGCTGACAATAGCTAGCACTGAAAAGCCAAACCAGTTCTTCACTTACGTTGGTGATGTTCCTGTGGCTCACAGAATATTTATTTCCACAGGTAGCTGTTATAGACTGTGTGTTGCCCATTCAGTTACTCCAAGCTCGTGAAGGAGAATGGGCGGAGAGGACAACATGTAATTCAGGATTGTTTGGAAGCCGGTTGCCTAGGAAACTGAAATGAGCAGCATAATGCCCACTAAAACCAATGTCAACAGGGGATGGGATTTTCCTTTTTGATCCAAGTTACTTTTCAAATATATATTCTCTGCTGCTTGTGGAGCCTAATTAGGCGGTTGGCCCTTGTGGACAGTGTATGCCAAAGTAGAGTGAAGGTTAGAGGGGAAGGGAGATTTTTCATAAATATAGTATTGATAAAATGTTTGAGAGAGGGAATGATGGTGTAGTTAAAATGAAACTGTAAAAGGATAAGGTGATCAGCAGATGCATAATTTACATAAAATAACATGTAATTTTTGATCATAGTTTATCTGCATCTAAATTTATAGAAGCAAAACTTACTTTTTAAACATAATTTCATTTGCTGTAATCTACTGTTCCCCGCTCTTATGCTACTCACACCGGAAGATTTGCTTTACGGTAATCATCTTCAAGGGTAACTTTTGGAATTCATAAATCTTTGATGAAAATCATCGTTAATTTCCCAATACTTTATAAATATGTACATTTTATTAGTAAATGCTACATACATATCCACACACATATTTTAGGTATCTATATATGCGTACATATATATTTAAGTTGAACCATATAAAATTGCTGATATTAGACCGCATAGGACCTATATAGTTCATCTTACGGATAAATAGAAGCGATCATAGGATATATATTTGGCAGAGGGTAGCAGTATTTTTTGTTGTTTTACTTGGGTTTCTCATTCTCTCTTTTCCCATCTCCACTGTTCCTTGTCCTACATCAACCCCATCCTACTCTCACTTGATGCTTGTCCCATAGGCAATCCACGGTAACCACCTGGCATGTATCTTTCACACTCATAGAATCATAAATAGACATGCATAGATCTGTATATCCATATTTGTACTAGGGGCAAAGTTCACACTGAGGAATCTCAAACTTCCAGATTGTTGATTTCCTGTTCATATCTATAGCCAAATATCCTTCTTCCTGATTTAAAAATATTGCTTATCTCTTTTTTGTACCCTTAATGAATTTCATACTGATTTAAAGTAGTTTTCTCATTTTTTAACATTCATTCACTTGAATTCTATTTCTCTCATATGTGCTAGAAACTATTCACAAATGATTCAAGCTATGACATATGGGACTGTGTCACACAGGTGGATTAATTATTCTTTTCTGGTTTTCTACTTCTGCCTCCACAGAATAGCTGATTACTTTGTAAAGGTAAGAGTAAGAACATATGAGAAAAAATACATTAGTTTTTATTCTGCTAACAGTAGATCCAGGATGTCAATGCCTTCACTTTCAAGGAAAAAGCTCTCTCAGAGCCTCTTAGGGGCTCCCAACTGTGTGAGCAAAGTTAAGGGTTAGTACAAGAGTGGGGTCATATGAGAATACCTTAAAATTTGTGCCATAGATGGGAGTGTTTAAAATCTTAAGATAATAAGAGCTATAGCTATACCACAGATGTGATAGAAGACCTAATATTCTCACTCTTAACCAAAGGTGACTTCTGTCACTGCCTACGACAATTGGCACTGAACCCCATACTCCTTTTAGAGGACAGTATTATTTTATTAGGCCATTGCAGGAGATCTCAGCTCAGCATGATGGGCAACTTCCGGTGACAGTGGGCCACTGAGTTATTCTGGGACTTAACTACTCAAGAGTTTTTTCACTAGAAGGCTAGTGCTCATGGAAGGAAAAGGCAACAAGAAACTAGTGGTCTGGGGTTTCCTCCACTTCTGCAGTCTACACAACCCCTCCCTCTGCGCCCTTGCGTACATGTGTATAAGTCTTGAAACCTTTGCCCGCAAACAGATGCCTACTGTTTGTCCAGGCTTTTGCCATAAGGCTATAGTTCTTTCTCTTATTTTGGAAGAAAAGTGCTTTGTAATGACGGAAAATGCCGATTCCTAGGAGTTGAGGAGTTGGAAGTCTCCCAGGAGAAACTCAGAGGCTTCATTCCTGCGAGTTGGAACTGGCATGCCTGATAGGGTTTCCTTGGGTGAATCCTTGATCCTTAGGAGAGGGTACCCTGGCCAGGGAGAACAAAACTCACTCTGGTTCTTGTATTTTGGAAGGCTGTTATTTATGTAGAAGCAGAATCTGTCCTCTTGCCGTTCGAAAGGATTTCAAAGCTGCTGTACCAAGAACTGTTTTCAGATTACTGGTTTCAAAAACTACTGACCCCTGTCCTCCGTTTCAATAGTGAAATCCCAAAATAGTCCTAGGAGATACAAGTAAATTCTGACAGCTGTTGAGGTCATCTTAGAACTAAATTCCAAAGAAATACTTTTAGGCTGATAAAGAGTCTAGAAAAAGGAGGAGGGAGAGAAAAAGAAAAAAACAGATGAGTGTACAGAACAGTAGCTGTTTGCAGCTCACCCAGGTGTGCTCTGAAGGTCAAAACCCTACATCAGCAATTAGTAGCAAACTCGTGAGCTCCTCTACCTCTTAGAAAGCACAATTGAGTCCAATAGCATGTGAAAGACATGCACACTTCATATAATGCCAGCAAGTCTCCCTAGAAAAGCAGTTTTTGTAGGTGAAAACAATGAAGCCAGGTAAAATTCCAAGGAGGCTATAATTTTAGAAGACCTACCAACAACACTGACATAGGAAGCTCATTATTTTAATCTCTGGAGCCTTTTAATTTTTTTCTTTAGAAAGTGCATAAATAATTGCAGTGCTGCTTTGCGTCCAAAGCTGGGCAGTAAGTTCAACAATAACAGCAGCAGTTCTGATCCTGGCCATCATGGAATTTCTTGAAAGAACGTATCTTGTGAACGATAAAGCCGCCAAGATGTACGCTTTCACACTAGAAAGGTAATAGATGTCTGTGTCTGTTTCACAATTTTCTCTCTTGAATATCCATTCCTATACCTTGTTGTTTCTGAACTGTAAACTTTTACTCTGCAACTTGGGGACACTTTCGAACATTTTGTAAGTTGTTGACTGACATGTATTTTATATTCTGAAAAATGCAATACTTTATATAGTTAATTTGATTCCTTAAATATCCTGAGTGCATAAAGAACACATTTTATTGATGTGTTTTTCATCTGGAGTGTTTCTTCCACCAAACAGACCTATCTAACTTAATGTGTTTACTTTTCCTTTCTTAATTATTCTCAACTTTAAGATAGACAGTAAATTTTATTACATTATATTTAGAAAAAATTAAGACTTCAACTATACAGCAAAATTGTGGTTGTATTGATCTTAAAATAAATTGTTTTCTTACTCATAAAATATCATTACTAACATACATGCCTATAATAAATACAGCTGATCTTAATGTTCTACAAAGTATTCCATTTCTTTTTAATATCTCCCACAGTGTCACATGCAATACATTCATTCATTTTTCACTTGGTTAACAATTATTGACTGAATACACCTGTGCTAAGTGTGGGACTTATAATGAGAAAGAAAAAAATGTCTAGCCTCAGATCTTTGTCCTCTTGAAACTTAGTCTAATGTGAAATACATATTAGAACAAGGCAATTATAACAGAGTGTATTCGTGTCATACTGAGGGCGTTCAATGAGAATAACTGGACTTTGGAATCAAAGGAAGCTTTTTCAGAAGTAATAGGCTAAGAGCTGAAAAATAAAAGGAATTAAAGTAGGGTTAGGGATAACCTGCATAGAAGCAGGTTTGAGGAAAGTTTTCCAGACTGAGATAATTGGACAGAAAATATACTTTCACATATATAAGAATGTGAGCTTGGTTTGTTTGAGGAGTTGAATCTGAAGGGGTTCAAAAAAGGAACATATTCAGTGAATATAAATGAGTTAATACAAATCTGAAAAGAATGCATGTTAGAAGAATTTAAGAGAACACTCACCCATTAATAATAAGTGTAATGTTCTTGTTTCACAAAGCCAAATTAATATTCTAAGGAGTAGTGATACTAGGTTTGATAGCATCAAATATTTTAACAACAGCAAAGAGATTTTATAAAAAGTATATTTATGACTTGGCTTAAAACAAAGACGCCAGCAGTCTCACATTTGAATAGTTTTCTTAGAAAATATTAGATATGATTTATTGAGGTTATTAACATAAAAAACAAAGCCTCATGGCAAGTCAGGCAGAAATTGGATAAGAAATTGTTAACCCTACAGAGGCTATCAATACAGCATCTCTAAATTATTGAAATAGCAATATTTTCCTTCTCATTAACATAGACTATTAACATAGTTTATTGCACAAATAAGCCAGCCGCTTCAAGTTACAAAGTCTCATCTACCCCATAAATGGGTATGGTTTTCAGGACACAGTGTTTATAAGAACTGTCAAAGTCATTTGTATTTTCTTATCAAGGGAAAGAAATTAAATCTGCAAGAAATTATTTATGTCTATCCCTCATTTTACTCTGTAGGAAACTGAATACCAGACAGAACAAATGCCTTTTTTGAGGTTAGAATAAATACCTGTCTTGAGGGCAAATGGCTAATTACAAAAGAATTGGGCTATAGACCCAGGTCCCCTGCCTGTTAATTTAGTGTTCCCCTTTTGCCTCTACATCTCCTGTACACATACATCCACCATGTGGGCTCCTGAATCCTTAATCTATTTCTTCCTTAGGTCACATGTCCCTGAATCCCCTCACTTAATCACTTTTTCCCTCACCTATCCCAGTCTATCTGATTGATTTTGTTCTGTCCGTATTAATCATAGATAACTTTGTCCCGTTATTTCTCCTCTTTTCTCCTTCTCCCTCCTTTTCTTTCTACTTATTTGCTTTCTATTTAAATTGTTACCAGCTGTTACGAAACTTAATCAGAAGAAAACTTTATTATCAAATTCCACAAATGGAGTGTTTCATTTATCTATTGCTGTGCAGCAAACTACCCCCAAAAGGTAGTGGCTTAAACAACTATTTTATTATGATTCTCTGGGTCAGGATTTGGGCAGCATTCAATGTGGGATTAGCTGGAATGGAAGGCTGCATTCTGCTGGTATCTTGGCTAGGCTAGAAGGCTTAAGGAGGCTTCACACATGACTGAGATCTTTGTGTTGGCTTTTGCTTGGGGCAGGAGTCTTAATTCTTCTTCCCATGGCTTATCTCTCTGTATGGCCTCACTTTATCTGGTTAGCCTGGAATTCCTTACATGGCAGTCTGGAGTAGCAAGAGAGTAGCAGTGTAAGCTGACTGTTCTCAGATAGCTTAAGCCCAGAACTGGCACAGTATCATTTTAATCATAATTTATGGGTTAAAGCAAGTCCCAAGTCTCAGATTTCATGGGTGAGGAAATAGATTTCACCTCTTGATTGCATGTGTATGTAGGATGACAGGAATTGCTGGAGGTAATTTTACAGACATTTTACCACAGGAAGTAGTAATACTGGACCTCGTAGGTGCCATGAACCATATTTTTCACCCTCTGCATTCCCTCCAAATCTTGTTTTACTGATTGGATTATCTGCGCTGTGGGTTCATTGTAGAAAAAAAAAGTTGGTTCTAGATGGGAGGGATCAAGTTTCTCTTTTTCCCAAGTCATATGTTGAAGAAGTACAGAAGAAGTAAGGACAGGGACAGACGGTAGAGGTATAGTGCTAGAACCTTTTCAACAACTATGCAACAGGTGAAAATTATTTTTAAAAATATGAAAATCTCTAGAAGCTGTCTTAAGGGCATGCAGAAAATTAAGAATTATTTATTCAAGAAAATCTAAATCTCAGTAAGAAGTGAGAGTTTATGGCATTTGAGCCAAGATCTGCTCCATTAATCTCTCCTCTTCCCCAAGCTCAGTATGACGGGAGCTCAACTCTGAGTAGATGTAGTCAAAAGACAGGGCTTTCTCCCCTCCCAGCTTCTAGTTAAAGATCATAGTTCACCTCTGGAGCAAAAGGCTGTTGGAATCTCATATTGTCCCAACTTCAGGTTGCAGAAATTCTATTCACTGCAGACATGGCCAAGAGGACTATGGTTTCCTTCCTCCACCCAGCCTCCTCTCATAGGGTATAATCTCTAGCCCAGGAGCAGCAAGGTCCTGAATATCCCCACCCTGGATCACTCATAGTGTATAGGATATATTCCAGGAGGCACAAGTAAAAAATAATGTCTACTAGGGACTACTATCCACATTCCGTGCTCCACTTGTGGAGCAAGCGTAGTGCTCCAGGAGAAGTAGGTCACTGTCTCCTCTGCCAGCTCTGGTGCACCGGCATAAAGGTACTCCTCGCGGGAGAGGCAGACCATAAGCATAGAGGCTATGTATCTTCCCCTTAGAAGACTGATGATACACAAGTGAAATTTTATTTCTAAGAGAGCATGGGGCATTTCAAGCATAGGGACACTGTTGAAAACAGTGAAGATTTTTCTGGTGAGCAATTAGGAGTAGGCTTGTTGCTTCATGATAACAACAAGTTAGTGGCAGACCAGCTAGAAGTTAAACAGAGACAGGCAGAAAAAACAGGTAAGAAGTGCCCTCCTGGATTTGGCACTAACCACAAAATTTGGCCTCAAATATTACCCCTGTAAAGAAGCCTGTTATAGATCAAATGTTTATGTCTGCCACAATTACATGTTGAAGCACAAATGCCCAGTGTGGCTGCATTTGGAGATGGGGCCTCCTAGAAAGTAAATAAGGTTAATTGAGGTTGTAAGAGTGAAGTCGTGATCTGACAGAATTAATGTTTTTATAAGAAGAGACTCTAGATAGCTCACTCTCTTTTTTTGTGAGTATACACTAAGGAAAGACTGCGTGAGGAAATAACGAAAAGGCAGACACCTATTAGGCAAAAAAAAAAAACCCTCACCTGTGAATTTGCTAGCATCTTGATCATGGGCTTCCATCCTCCAGAACTGTGAGGAAACACATTTCTGTGGTTTTAGCCACCCATTCTGTGAAATATTGTTATAGTAGCTGAAGCAGAGTAATTAATAAAGAAACCAAATTTAATTGGATCAAATATTGGTCATTTCGTACCTCAGAATATTATTGAAAACAGTAGAGCAACAGTTCAGCAAACAATTAAGAAGGCCAAAATTTGAGTGTGATACCAACACAAGCAGAACAATCACTTAACAGTGAGACAGTGGAAAGAAACAGTCAAAGTGAACACAACTAAAGTGATTTTTATCCTTTGGAAATGGGAGAGGATAAGAATAACTGTGCATCTACCCAATGATGAACCCTCTGAGGAATGACAACAGAGGCTGCACATGCAGGAAAAGTCAGAGGAAATAATGTCCACTAGGCAAGCCAGGTCACCAAACAAATAGAGCATCAAGTAAGTAGACATGAACAAAAAACACATGGGAGATCAGTATCCAGAATTGCTACAATATATGATATAAAACTCTCAGAATGCAGCAACAGTTTATGAGATATATATAAAAAAAAGGAAAGAATAACCTGTACATGATGAAAAAGAGCAGTCGGTAGAAACAGTCCAGGTATTGGACACAGAATTCAAATATTTCAAAACAGTGATTATAAATACATTCAAAGAATTAAAGAAAAGCAAAGAAGAAAGAATTAAAGATAGGTATGATTAAAAATGTCTCATGACATTGGGAATATAAATGAAGAGTTATGAATTTTTTTTTTTTTTTTTGAGACGGAGTTTCGCTCTTGTTACCCAGGCTGGAGTGCAATGGCTCAATCTCGGCTCACCGCAACCTCTGCCTCCTGGGTTCAGGCAATTCTCCTGCCTCAGCCTCCTGAGTAGCTGGGATTACAGGCACGCGCCACCATGCCCAGCTAATTTTTTGTATTTTTTTTTTTAGTAGAGACGGGGTTTCACCATGTTGACCAGGATGGTCTTGATCTCTCGACCTCGTGATCCACCCGCCTCGGCCTCCCAAATTG